GGGAAGGCATCAGTTTGGTCAGAAGAGGAAATTGAAAAGCTAAAGCGATTAGTTCCAAGCAATGTCACACCCTCAGGTACGATATCTTGGAATGACGTCGAAAAAGCTTGGATAGATCTGAATCTGCCCAAAAGGACTAAGGCAGGCCTTAGCAGCAAATGGCGGGATATCAAGACCAAATCCGCCAGTGTGAGTGTTAGTGATTCGTCTTTGATACAAAACAAGACGAAATTGCATTTGAAAGTCGTTACTATTCCATCTGACACTACTGTAGATGTTAACCACAACGCCGGTAGTAATAATAACGATGTAAACCCTACAGTCGTAAAACCAGATCAGTGCGTACCGGCTGATTTGGCTGATGATGTTGTTAAATCAACCTTCAGGAAAGAATATAAAAAGGCACAAAAGATAGGATGTCGGATGACGTTGAGAAAAACGCCACTAAGAGTCTCCGGCAAGCATATTAAACCTATCATCTGCGAAGTTAATCGACTGATAAAAAGTGAGTTAGATTTGGTAGTAGGTGGAATATCTTGGAATCAGTTGTCAAATCTAGTTTACGCTGGTGCGATGACAGTTTCTAAGGTAGGAAACCGAAAATGTCTTGAAAAACAACAACGATCAAGAGAATGGTTTAAGATCACATATAGTGAATGTGAGAATTTGCGCCGCGTCATCGGTAAAGCTACTAGTGAGTTAAATAGACGGGTGAGAAGTGCGGAAGTAGCCCTTACAAATAAGCAGTTTCATAACATCAGGATGCTTAAAAAGAAATATAAGGTGGAGTCACGGGCTGAAATAACATCTCTTGTAGAAAGATTGAAGTGCAGACTTCAACTTCTACAATCGCGAATAGCATTAAGGAAAGCAGATGAAGAACGTGTACGCGTTCGTCAGATGCCGGCTAAGATGCTATTCCGAGGCACGTGTACTGATTCAGAACCAGTTGATATCCATCAGATCAGAAAGTTCTGGAAAGAAATTGTAGGGGTGAAAAAGTCTTTTAACTCGAAGAGTCCACGGCTAGTAGCATGGGAACAATCGATGTCAAATATTCAGGGAGAGACTGATCTTAAAGGTCGATTGAACCCTGAACTTTGGCAGAAGGTTGTTCAAAAGATAAAACCATGGAAAGCACATGGTCCAGATAAGTTGCAGGGGTACTGGTGGAAAGTCTTCGATTCAGCCAATGCAACACTTTATGATTTAACTCTTCATCATATCTTATCTGGCGAACCCTTACCGCAGAGGTGGATAACCGATGGACGTATAGTACTCATACATAAATCCGGATCTAGGTCTGATCCCGCGAACTTCAGACCTATAGCTTGTTTGAACATCTGCTACAAGCTAGTAACAGGTTTTATAGCCGCATATTTAGATCAGTATGTGAGGGGGCGAGATATACTGAACAACGAGCAAATAGCATTACGTCGGGGTGTGTGGGCTTGCTCACATGCTCTCACTCTTGACCAAACGTTAATAGCAGACGCACAGGATCAGAAGCAGAGACCTATTAGCGTAGCTTGGATAGACTATGCAAAGGCATTCGATAGTCTGCCACATAGTTATATCAAATGGCTGCTCAAAGTAATGCAAGTTCCTGACCTGTTACGAAAGTTTTTGAAAAGCGTCATGAATAATTGGAGAGTACGATATGAAGCGAGAAGTCCTAGGGGTAAGATAGAACATAGTAATTATCTAAGGATTCGTTCCGGAGTTCTTCAAGGAGATAGCTTCAGTCCCTTGTTGTTCTGTCTAGCGATGGCGCCCATCAGTCACGCAATAAATAGTGTTAAAGGTGGCTATACCACCGCCTCTGGGAAATTTAAAAAGGTGCAAATCTCGTTGTCTCATCTTTTCTATATGGATGATCTTAAGCTGTATGCAAACTCACCTGAAAGTCTAATGGAACAGATCAAAGTCGTAGCATCAATTTCAGAGGACATAAACATGAAATTGAATGTTAAAAAATGTGCTGTAACACACTTTATACCGAAACGAATGCGAAGTGAACAGACAGATGTAGATGATGACACATCTACTGACAGAAGTATAAGCTTCCCGATGCTAGATGGTGAAGCAGTCTACAAATATCTGGGCATGGAACAGAAGCTAGGTTTAAAGGAGTCTGAAGCATGGGATCGTGCGAACGACAGGTGTTATGATAAAGCACGTCGCTTATGGGATTCCGATCTTACTTTTCGACAAAAAGTGAATTCCTATAACACCACTATCATTCCTGTATTTAAGTATATAGCCAGTTGCATAATTAAAGGTAGTGGTACATACGCAAGTGTCTTAAAACGGGGCGAAGATCTAGATAAGAAGTACCGCAAACTACTTGTGGAGCTTAAAGCTAGACAAAAATCCAGCTGTGTAGCAAGATTGTACCTGCCAGCTGAAATGGGAGGATATGGTCTCAAATCGATTAAGGACGCCATAGAGGAGTCCACCATATACCTATGGGCGTATCTCTGTACGAAAGCAGAATTAAAAGGATCATTAAATCTGTTTTTGGGAATGGTTAACCGGGGGAAACGATGTGTAGTTAGTGATGCAGGCAGCATTATAAAGGCATATGATATAGACTATAAGTTGGAAGAAGTGCGTTCCACTGTCATTATAGATGGTGCTTCTTTTAACGACGCAAGAACATTAGCAAGACACGTGGTCGGGCTAATGCGTACTGTCAATAACAACGGACGGTACAAAACATGGAAAGAATTAGAGCTAGCAGGACGTGTTCTACGTTCAAACTCTAGCATGGATATGATAGAGTCCTTTACTTGGCTCAAGCAAGGGAAACTATCATCGGTAGCGGTAAGGAATGCTCTAGCAGCTCAAGAAGGATGCTTAATAACGCGCACACATCCTTCACAAGCAAATTCGAACGATAAGAGTTGTAGGGCGTGTGGGTGCCATCTTGAAACAATTGAGCATGTCCTTTCAAGTTGTTCCAAGTGGTTGTCGAACCTATACATCGACCGTCACGACTCAGTTGCTAGAAACATACACTATCGAATATGTCAAAAATACGGCTTTACTCCTGCACACTACTCACAGAAAGTGGAATCGGTTCTAGAGAATGAGAGGATAAAGTTGTATTGGAATCAACCCGTACAAACCAAAACGATCATTCGCCATAACAAACCAGATTTGATAATCTTCGATAAGCCAGGAAAGACAGCCTTGATAATCGAGGTTGCAATATCATGGTTTACTGGTATAGAAAGACAGGTACAAATAAAAACAAATCGTTACTGTGTCAATGGTAATTGGGAAGAAGTTACGAAACTGCCATACCCAGTAGGAGATAATTTACTACGTGAATTACAAACTGCTGGATGGAAAGTTTCCTTCTTACCGGTGGTCCTTGGCACATGTGGCGAAGTGCTTTCGAACCTAAAAGGAGATTTAATGGAAAAAATTGGCTTAACTCAGGTAGCAACTGCCGACTGTCTCGAGAGAATGCAACGTAGTGCGGTTTTGGGAACGAGCAGGATCATTAAAAATCACCTTGCTGTAAGATAGGGAAATGGTGATGTCTAATGACCCGTTGTGCTTGCACATGCGGAATTAATCAATGATTTTTGGGAAAAAACAAGAAAGGTAGTGATTCTAACATCGGGAAAAGTCATTGAAGACCCTTGTTCCAAATATCATCTTAGGAACATTGTAGCTGAGAGTGAGTAACTCCCAGTATCGGTGGGCTAAACCCCAGCGAGTGTCTAAAACGGCCGAGGCGACTCGGAAGTGTCATGTAGGGATGTGACGGTGGCACTATAGTCCATTTAGCGGTAAAATGCATTTTTCAGGTACAAAACTCAATGTAATCGAAATAAAAATACGATATTCGTGATCAGCGCGCAAAATCGCATATAAATGATGTGCTTCTAGAGATATTTGAAAAAAAAGTTTTTTTTTCGATCCCTTTGGGGGACCACAGGGATGGACCTCAGGGTGGGTCATCAGCGGGGACCATGACTATGAAATAATGAAAGACCAAGTGGTATAAAATACTTCTAATAATTCCCTAATACTTTTTAGAATGTTAAAAGTTAAAAAAGTTTTGGGACAAAAAATAGTCATTCCCGCCCACATCCTTTGTTCAAAAATATCAATAAAAGAAGAAAAAGTAAAACAGATAAGAAAAAGAAAAATCGAGCCTATTTTGCGTATGATCGTATTATGGCATGGGCTCAGAATGATACAACATCAACGGATATTCTCGATGCAAGTGGTAATTATGCTTATTTAATGGCTTCTATTCCTAATTATGACGAATGGATTCGTGCTAATTATGATATACAAGTATGGCAAGAATATTTGAAAATGGGCACTGAAAATAAACATTGGGCTAAAGAAATCATTCAACGAACTAAAAAACGCGATGATTTCGTTAATACACAATTTGTTAAAAAGAAAATTAATCAATTATCAGCTTTCGTTGCTCAATCTAATGCAAATATTACAGATTTGAAAATTCAATTACGTACATACTGGTCACAAGTACCAAGTCACCGAAAATTTAAAAAAATAGGTAATAACATAGCTGAAACTGCCATGCCCTCAACAGAATCTGCAATTAGAATAAAAGCAGCAACAACTACTAGAACAGCACCAGCACCAACAACAACACAAGCCACAACAACATCAAAATCAGTACTTGTTCCATTAACTATTGAAAGGATTCGAAGTAAAATTGATGAACTTGAAAAATTATTATTAAAATACTTACAACATTGTACTCAACACGTAAAGAAATTTCATGAAAATCGTATTCAATTGGCCAAAATACAAATGGATGAATTTAAATCTTTAGAAGAATTCGAGCGAGTAGCTACACCATATCAATGGAATATCCATTTGACTTTAAAATCTAAAATGAAACTTTGGTCTACTAAAAATAAAAATTATCTTGCAGCTACAAAACGTGTTGAACTTGATATGCCTCCAAAATTTATTGAAAAAGTTGATTTATCTTTTAAAATAGATGAATCTATTATTGATCAAGATGAGGCACAAGCTATATATAATCAAATGCGACAAATTACAAAAGATTTTCGTATACAAGCAATGACTTTATATGTCCAGTCATTAGCTCGAGAAAGTGAATTATTATCAAATGAAATAAAACGTATTATTCAAGGTTTTCCACAAGAAAATGATGACGGTTTTGATGCTGAACCTGGTTATGCAGCATTTCAACAATATCATCAATTACGGGAAAAACGATTAAAATTAGAAATTGAACAATCGATCTATTTTTTATTGGAACAGAGAGCCGAGGGCGAAAGAAACGATCCAGTGGAGATAGTTGCTCCGGCTCTCATCCGATCGCTAGGCGAGGAATTTTCGCTCCAGCTATAATTAATGAAGCACAAATTGAACTAACCGAGGATGAATATGAATTACTAAAATTAGGCCCTCGGTTTATATATAATGATCCAAAAACAGCAGCTCGACGTCGAACTACTGAGTTGGCTACTTTAAAAAGAAAATTAAAAAATCGTTTCTTTGAAAAGAAAGTTAGCCCCGGTCGTCCTGTTGAACAATTCATTACCGAACTAGATTTAGTGCTTCAAAGATTACACAATACATCAATTAACAGTGAACTGATAAAAAGAAATGATTTACTTAATGTTACAATTAAAAATTTATTAAAAAATGTTCAATTAAGTCAATCTAAAAATACAGGTCCTAATAATAAAAGTATCACTAAAAAGAAAAAGAAAAAGAAAAATTATAGTCGAGTAGTAAAAAGATTAAGATATAAATTTAAATTAACCAATACAATAATACGAAAATCTGATAAATCAAAAGTATTCCATTTAGGCAAAATTGAAGATTATGAAATAAAATCTAAAGAATATATGGATAAAACTCAAGCATATCAATGTCTTGGTACAAATGATCCATTACCTGATTTAATTCAAAGAACTAATAAATATTTATTAGATTTAAGATTGGCTAAATGGATTACTCAAAAACAATATGAAAAATTATGTATTAATCCAAATGAAGTTGAACTTGCTCATTTATACTATTTACCAAAAGCCCATAAACCTGGTACTCCTCTTCGTCCAATAATTTCTGGTCTCAACCATCCTACTATTAAAATTTCAAAATTTCTTGATGAATTACTTAGGCCTCTATTTGATAAAATGGCTCTTAAGACCACTGTCACTTCTGGTTTTGAATTATTAAAACAATTAGATATGTGGTGTAAAAATAATATGCGTCAAGAAACAATATTTTGTACAATTGATGTAGTAGATCTTTATACTATGGTACCACAAATTGAAGGAGTACATTCATTAAGAAAAATGCTAGATTATTTAAAACTGAAACAAGTCGGTGGCTTAAAAATAGAAACAATACTTAGATTAAGTCGGCTTGTTATGCAAAATAACTATTTTTCGTACAATGGCCAATTTTATCATCAAATTCGTGGAGGAGCTATGGGTTCCCCTCTTACGTTAACAATCGCTAATTGCTATATGTTCTTCTTTGAACAACAAATTATTAAACAAATAAGCATTAGTGGTGGATTGTATTTTCGATATATTGATGATATATTTATTGCAATTAATTGGCCTATTCGCCATTTAATGAAACAAATTATCGATTGGAATAAAATTGATGAAAACATTAAATTAGCAGAAAATATAGGTTTTACAGTAGATTTTCTAGATTTACATATAGAAAATCGAGATGGTCAACTATTTACTACAGTATTTAAAAAACCATCGTATGAACCATATTATTTGCCATTTAGCAGTATTCACCCGATACATATGAAAAAGAATATTATATTTACTATGCTTTTACGTGCCCTAAGATATTCCTCAACATTTCAAGAATACTTAAATGAACGAGAAAGACTACGAATGGCACTATTACTAAATAAATATCCAAATAAATTTGTTGAAAAACAATTTGAAAATATATTAACAAAATTGGATATTAATAAGCCAATAACTGCTTATAATTATTCTGAATCTCGTCAAAAAGTAATGAATTCTGCTATAAAAGAAAAATTACCTATTAACTATCAAAAAACTTTGTTTGTCCATTTTACTTATTGTTCAAGTATGAAATTATTCCCAGTTAAATTTTATGAACTTTGGAATAAATATTTCGGCGAATCTCCTATTAATGAAATTACACCAATATTAGGAACAAGAAATGTAAATAATCTTCAAAAAAGATTAATACACACTAAAGGAAAGCAGATAAACAATTGTATTCGTATTATATAACTACAACTTTAAAGAAATTATATTGAATAAAACATGATACTTATGTAATATCACTTTATATAATGGACTATTTATTCAAAATAAGAAATTTATAAAAAATTTCTTTAAAAAAACTAGATTTTAACTTTATAAAATATACTTGGTATATCAAGTTATATAATCGTTTATTTATTCAAAATAAGAAATTTATTAAAATTTCAACTAGATTGAAGTCTATAAAATATACCTGTAAACATTCACATTACAATTATTAATATCAGAACAAATTAATTAGAAATAAAACTGTATTTCTGTTTACAATAGTTTCATTAATCTTTATTTACAAGTTTCAAATTTTAATATTATATATTAATATATTTAATAATTAGAAAAAGAAAATAAATTTAAATGAAAAATATATCAATAAAAAATTGAAACATTGGAAATGTTACACATCATTAAAAGTATTCACCTTTACATTAAAACTACAGGCTTGTTATTAAATATATCCAATTTCAGATAAAGTCTATAGACTTATTAATAAAAACATTATATTATTAAATAATTATTATTAATCCTATTCCATCATATATACACATTACTATAAAATATACCTGAATATATTAAAAAATTATAATAAAAAATTTAACATTATTGGTTATCATATATATATATATATATGAATACATTTAATTATCATAAAAAATAAAAAATAAAATATGGTCTACTCAAAAATATCTTTAAATATTATAGATTATTAAAGTTCTATATAAAATCTATCGGCATTTAATCAAAAGTATATTATTTCATTATTATTTATTAATCCAATTGAATCTAATTTATATTAATAAACAATATATTAATTTTTACATTATCAATTTATTTCTACAGCAAAATATTAGCTGCTTATTAAATATAATTTATTTCTACATAAAAATACTAGCTGCCTATTAAATATATTTATTTTTATATATAACCTATCGGCTTATTATTAGTTAATAATAAAAAATTATAACATTTTAAAACATTATAATTTTTATAAAAAACTATTTATTTCTACATAAAAATATTGGCTGGTTACTATAAATAAACAATATACTAATTTTTACAATATTTCAATTTATACATTACCAATTATTGGTTTTTTAACAAATCAAATTTTGAAAGTATAAACTAAATATTATCCTCATATATTAAATTTTCTTTTGCCCAATTTATAAACAAATATAATCTATGCAATCAAGCAGCCGCATATATTAGAACTATACAGTTACACAAATCAGTCTTTTACTAAAAAAGTAATTCTCCAACATCCTTATTACTTTCGCCATTTAATTTTTCTATTTTTTCTTCATACTGCTAACTCCCCTAATACTTTTCTTGCATATCTATAATTTTGCTTCATTTCATTTTATTTTATTTTGCTTATGTCGCTTATTTTGCTTATATTTGTAAATGCAGAGCCCTGATGAGTGTTTCTAAATTTTAATAAATAACACGAAACGCGT